ATTCAATGAGACAAGTATGCACTTAGATTTTTGCAAGTAAAAGATGTTACAGAATCTACTAATGGTTAGTTCCCATCCTGAAAAGAAACCTCAAACCTCAGCAGCAAAGAATTTTCTCACCTTATTAGCATGGGAAATGCTCGGTGTTAAGGTAATCTGACAAAAGTCATCCTGAAACTTTCAAGATGCCACCAAGCTTCAGAGCCTGGCTTTATCCTGGTAAAAGTTTATCCCAGAATCTACCTAGCCAGCAGCAGCTACTTCAAGACAGCCTGAGCCATAACTGCAATAAAGCATGCTGCTTCCTACAGACTTTGTGAACAGGAACTTGCCTGCTGCAGTCACTTGATCTCTATTGTCAGGTATCACAGTGTTAAATAAGATGGCGAGAGACCCTCCTGTGGATCTCATCCCCTTTCTTCCCCATGAAGCTTTACAATCATACTAGCTAGAATTTTAAAGCTTCACATAATAACCATAGGTTTGCATGTGTAAAATGATTGCCTGTCTTCTATTACACTCCTATTCAAAGCTTCTGGTTTACCCCATTTGTTTAAATGCTCGCACCTCACCAGTTGTGGCTATTTGCCAGAGTATATCACAGTACATGGTCCTTTCTGATGCCACCAGGCTCATGGAAAGCATAGTTCCAAAGCTCTCCAAAATCTAGGTACAGATTAAAAAAATGTATTTAATAATAGGCAAGGCATATCATTGTGAAGCATTCGATACTTATGCAACCAAAACCACAGACAGATCACTTTTACAGTCACACCATTCATTCTTGTTTGTCATGTTTTTTCACTTATTGTAAAAGTACCAATATTTTCATGGCTTTCAATTTAAAAAATGAAAATTTCTTTAACAACTTTTCTGAGGGATTTGATTTTGTGAACTACTTCAGTAAGCAGGCTTTAAAATGGCTGCTATTCACTCTGGCGCTCCAAGTGGGTTCCAAATGTATCCACAGATATATAAACGGTGTATCAGATGGAGTTGCTTTTTTTCTCCTCTTCAGTTCTCCTCTTTTGGCCTCAGCAGAAATCAAATCCCTAACAATAGTTACAGCAGCTAGAAATTCTTCATATCATCCTCACACTTCTACAATTCTTTGTTATTCTGCAGGATTTTGGTAGCTGGTTATGTGCTACAATGAAATTCTAACTTGTGTTTGTTAAGACACGTAGAATAAAGTGAGTGTACTATTTGAATTATTTTATAGGAATAGTGGGGCTGGCATTGGCTTTCAGAAAATAGCTGGGAGAATATTTACTATTCAGGTAGCACTAAGCTGGGCAGGCAGAGTAGCTACAGTCCCACCTTTAAAATGTGTAACCATACTTTACAGTTGAAATATTACAGGAAAATTCTCCAGAGCTGTAAAAAGCATGAGCTGTTCACAACTCGCTCAACTACTCAGAAGAGAGAAGGCACCAACTTCACCCCCTGCTTTATCAAAACATGCACACATTTGGGAGCCACCTGCTTTCACAGTGATGCTTTCTTCACCAGCAAACCTTCGCATTTTCCCCTTCTGAATCATTGTGTGACAGTGAATCACTGATGATCTTCAGCGGCAGGACCAAAAATAGGGTTGGGCACAGAGAAAGGCTGGGGTAGGGGCAACCTTTCCTATGTTCAGCCCTGGGTCTCCCAAGCAACAGTGAGCAGGCTGTTCTACCTCCAAATACTTCAGATCCTCCTGGGAGCAATCACCTTTCCCTGCTCCACGGGCTATTTCTGCAGTGCTGCACTCACAGTGCCGAGAAGCCGCGGCAACAAGAGCCGCATTAGCATGCGGTGAAGTTTGCACCCCGGGTAATTATGGTTTTCTTTGTCACAGTGAATCACTGCATGTGAAATTACGGCAATTTCCCTATGCATAGATGTAGTTGATAAATCAAAGCTGCTTACTAGATAATAACCGTGCTTCAGGTGGCTCCCAAAGAAACGCTGCCTTCGAAACCACAGCCTAACCTCCAAGTCTTCACGCCTAAGCAGAGGAAACTCAGCTCCCTTCACTGCTGTCCGTAAGGTTAGCACACCCTCAGCCACCACAGAGCCTACTGTGAAGGACAGAAAAACTGCTTCTGTCTGGTGACAGCCCATGCGACCTCTCTCCAAATGTTATTATTTCTGTGTCGCACTTCTTTAAATAATTTCCTCCCTGATCTGATAAACAAGTCTTTATTTTAGACCCTCAATTTCCATCCTAATCAGCACTTCCCTAAGACCCTCTAACCCACTTAAACTGCATCTGCTAAGAAACTATTTGATGCCTATAACTTGTTTATGTCTTTCCTTCTTTCTTTGAGTCCACCCACTGGCGCTTCCTGTATCAAATTCCAATTTCTTGCACTTAGTTTCAAGGCTCTTGACAACTCTATCTTTCTAGTCTTGTCTATTACTGCATTTATCAACTTGTTAGTATTTTTGAAGCACCCAGAAACCATGGTAATGACTGCCACAGAGAAGCTCACGAGGAAATTAATCATTCTGCTTCCACTGTAGAACTTGAATCCTGTGCAGTAAGTAAAGCTTGGGGTTCAAACTCCAAAAGAGATCCCCACCAGCTCATCATTAATTCATCACTCTCTACACCCTGCACCAGATGAGGCAGAGGTCTTAAGGGAAAAAAAACAGTAAGAGAAAGAAAGAATTGAAATCTGCACTCCACACCTACGCAAAAGAGGTGGCATTAAAACTACGTGTGCAATGGAACTCTGGTATTTCCTAACCATGGAGTGCTCAGTGTTAGAGTCTGAAGTTCCCTTGAACAACTTCCTCTGCCTCAAACGGTACATCATGGCCCAGAAACAGTATCAAAGCAGAAGTGATCACTGGGCTTTCAGGTAAAGACACAATCGTTTTTAGGTGGGATTCAGCCTGAGATTGTGGTGTTAAATTTGATGTCTGACCATAGGGTACACTTCTGAACCATGTTCATCTCCCACAGTCCCCCTGGAGCTCTGGATCATGCAGTCAGTTCAGCAGGAGCAGTTCAGCTCACCTGACAGCAGACACTTCTGCTCTGCTGAGGAGCCCTGAGGCTGCAGGGCCACTCAGAGCAGCTCCTCGTGGATTACAACAATGCAGGCACCTAGAGAAGCCTAGAAAAGTCTTAAGATAAAATCAAGTGTTCATGGCTAAATGCACAGCCAACACTGCAATAAGACTATCTCTTCTCTCTCTTGCTGCACCTTTGTTGCTCAGACTACAAATTTCACAGCTGGTAATCTGAGCCACTGAAGAACACTGCATGCAAGGACTCATGCTGGCCAGATTATCAGGGCCCTACCACAATATAAACATTGAATAATATTAGTTGCAACACCACCATCACTTTCATTTTCCCCTTAGCTGTTCCCTTTAGGTAGGATTGGTTTGCAGCTCTTTAGCCATCATTTCAGATACTGTAGCTAGCCTGTCTGGCCTCCAACTGCTGCTCCTGCTCTCAGGTCTCACCTGGATCCTGCCAGCCTCAGGTCTCCCAGGACATGCCTTGCGCCCTTGAGCCCATCTCACAACAGACATCAGCATGCAGGAAAAGCTGGCAGAGTTCTCACCAGATGCTATGAACAACTTAACTGAAACATGAGCAATATTAGGATGTTTTGGGGCTGAATGGACCTTTACAGGTCCACATTACACATCATGCGAACCCCACTGAAATGAGTAGGGACGTTGCCACACAGGATCTGGCCAGTAGATAAATGGCTTTTCAGGGAACTTACTTGTGCAGTGCCCCAAGGGTTGCTGTCCTGGGGCACTCTTGGACCACATGCCTGCCTCCATCTCCTCACACAGAGAACACAGGCACACACACCCCCACCTTTTTGGCAGCACTCTGAAAGATCAGGTTTACCACCAGTTACTATAATTGACCAAATTCCCACTGGCAAAGCTGCAGTTAGCAGCTGTGTGAGCCCATATGGCCCACAACTACTGTGTAGCATCCAGAGTATTTCTCACACGCCCCAATTTAGAGATTTTAGGAGTAGGGAATAAACAAGAGTTTGAGTACTTCACCAAGATAGAAGTTCACTAGTACAGAGAGACCTGAACTTGACAGGACTCTGCTTTGGCTGCCAGCTCTTCCAAGCTTGCAATATTTAGTGTTCCAGTTTTTAGTGTTTCTGTATTTAAACCTAGGTGCACATTTCTGACCTCTGTGTTTATTAAAACATGGAAATTTCTACCCTTCATGGAATGAAAAAGTCTATAAACAACCTCACCAGTCATAATAGTTTAAGGCAATGAAAGGAGCTAAAAATCTGCTAGAATGGTACTACAGGCTTGGGCTTGACTTGTCTTTGTTTTTTTGTGGGGGGTGGGGGGGGCAGGTGTGGTGTTATTTTTGGTTGGTTGGGTGTTTCAGGGGTTTTTTGTTGTTGTTGTTTTTTTAATGCAACACTGACACCGTCACTCTGTGAGGTCTGAAAGCTCAGTGTTGTTTTGCAGCTTCACTGTGTGCCCACTGTTGACCTGTGTTTGTTCCAGCCAGGCCATGTCTCCTCCTCCAGGTCAGCCCCTCTGCTGCGTTCGGGGCAGCACACTAAGCCTGGCCAAGGACTTGCACTTGCTGAAAATTTTCAAAAATACAGTGAAACCAGCTATCACTGTGCTCTGAGCAAAGACCTTAATGTTTCTGCACTCCTGAGAGAGTTGCCTTCTCAGGATTACTTATTTTCACATTGGCAGCAGTAGCCATAAAAACAGAGCAAGGAGAGCAGGGACCCCTCCTCAAATCCAAGTTTATGTCAGTCCTTCTCTTGTGCTACACCCTGAAATCCTTCCTGAGAGTCAAGGGGAGAGGGGATCAGTGACAGAATGGCTCCATTCAAACAATGCTGGCGGCTAAAGTATTTGCCTGGGGAGATGAGGGCTTAACTGACTGGTCATTAAAGTTTCATGCAATTCCCACTCTCAAGAGAGCAACTCTCAGCTGTTCACAGCTCTACAGAAAACACAGACACAGAATAAGGACATGAACCAGAAAGGTATCTTAGATCCATTAGTTATAATTTACACACCAATGACATACAGCATAAAGACAAAATATACAGATCTTCATATATATGTACATTGATCAACACAGTGCACGATTTAAAGTTATGTTACAATTAAGTGTACAATTTCAAATATGGCTTTATAAACTAGTAATAACAGTGCTAAAATGACATATGTCTCGTGTAGTTCATAGACAAACAATATAATGCAGCTACAGCATCAGAGTCCCCATTTAGAAATGTGTTGCTTCATTTTGTTAAACCTTGTACACTGCATCTAGAGCTGGATATATCCCTTGCCCATACACATCTACATACACTTTATTCTTGCTGGATTGCACACCCCTGTCTTTGGGACTTTCATTCTTCAAGTATCCTGAAAAATAAAAACCTGTACATTCAAAGAAAGATAAGTTAGAAGAACAAATTAAGAAGTGAGGGAAGAACACAAACAATCATAGTGCCCAGTGAAAATATCAACGTGACCAGTGCAGCCGAAAAAAGCACTTTTTTTTAGGGAGCTTAAAAAAGAACAGCCACATCTTGTTTGCTTTACTGTCCACAATAAAGAAAAATTTTACTTAAGTATAATTAACTAGACAGAAATGAGAGAAGTGGTAAATTCAGGGTCACTTGGAAGCTCTGTTGGAAACTCCGGCACCGCTGAAGCAAATGGCACTTTTGTCAACGACTTCAAAGTGGAGCAGGATTTTATTTATTCTGCAAAACCTGAATGCCTTTTGGAAGCATATGTTTCAGCTTTAGCTTGTTGAGCTGAAAGTGTAAATCATTACATGAAATCCCACAAACCCTTTTACGCTGAAGTCTGACCAAAAGCCCATAACTATCTCCTTGGCCTTGAAAAACCTGGGAGTGGTGCAACCAGGACACAGAACTAAGAGTTTAACATTGTAGTGACACACAGTGTTTTCAGTGACTGGCATTCCTGTGCTGTACACAGACTAATACCATTTAACTTTCCAAATTTCAGAGAGCTGCAGAAACCTCTAAGAAGTACTTCACAATGGGGCACCTCCATGGGGAATGACCACAGAAGAAGCCCTCTCCAAAGGCCATCGAAGAGAGGACTGCCCCAAACCACTGAGACAGAGCTGATTCACATTGCAACCCTTCTCTCCACTGAGGCAAAGCTGTGAAGACTGGGGTCACTGGCCTGAAAATTAAATGCACACACGTGGTGCAGGGGAACACCTTCACTCTATGGGACACCAGCTCAATACAACAGCCCACGTTCACCAGCAGAGTCAAAGCTCTGCTCACTGCCAATGCTCACTCCCAAACAGACCCTTGTCTCTGCAGCTCAGCTATGGGATGACAGCAGGCTGATGCCCCACAGGAGCCAGAGCTACCAAGATGAGCCCCTGCACAGTCTACCCAGCACTAAGGAGCACCCAAAGCACAGCATACATGGCTACCCCATAGCACTGATCAACTGCTGAAAGGCACTGCAGTCATTCAGAGAACCTCCAGTCCTCTGGTTCCGTGACATTAAACAGTACAGCGTGCACACTCCTTCGGATCACAGCTGCTGACATGTATGGGCACGACTCACACCTATGGATACCCATTTCCATATCCCAGCAACAGGACCATCCAACTTAATTCTGCATTCAGAGAGAATAATTTGCTTTATTAGTATCACATGCCTAAACCATAATTTTGCAGTATTTGGGGAGGGAACGAGGGTAAGGCCAAACAGCTACTTGTCAAAAAACAGATTCAAATTCTTATTCAAACACGTAAGGACAAGACCCACTTGAATTCATCCCCTGCCACAGAAATTTCACTTGGTGAGCTGCCCTGCATAAATCTGCACATAACACGCTTTTCCAGCAGGCAATATTTTGTAAGGCTTAGCATCTGACAGATACAGGCCTTTCAAGGAAAACAGTATGAAACTGTCATGATTACTTGAGCAGACATCACTGACAAAAGCAAATTTGTGCCTGAACTGTTGCTGCAGAAATATTTCAGGCAGTATTTTTTCAAAGAGAATATAGATCTGGAGGGACATTGCCAAGGTTTTAAAGATCAAAATGTGTTACTTGCAGTGCTATAATTGGATGGAAACAGTCCTCCAGATCTGAAACATCAGGTTCAGTTTGGTTTTTAAATCAAACACCACATTTTCAGGATTTCTGTAGGACCTATACATCCCAGCGCCTGTTTCCCCCATCGGTAACAGTGAGCTCTGCTGACAGAGCCAATGAGACTGACAGGGGTAAACAAATCCCTTCTGACACGACAGTGTCACACAGTCAAAAACTGCAATTCACATGAGAAAAACCCAACAGACTGCTTCAAATCTAACTCCATTGGAAATGCAGGGCTTGTTTTGAACTCCCATTTGCCAAATGAGGGGCAGACCAATTACTCACTCTTTTAAAGCAGCACTATGGAAACACAAAGGCAGTACTTAGCCTTTGGCAGTATTTAAGATAAAGTAACCAGGAGGAACGGTGCTGTCTCCTCTCCAAGATATGAGCTCAGGCTCCAACTCAAGCAGAGCAGATTGGAGGATGGAGGTCCCACCCATCCACTGAACAGTGGCATGAGCCAGGCCACAGGTACAGCCCAAGTCCTCCTGCAGAGACCCACCACTTGGCAACTCCCTGTATCCCACCATTCCCTTCTCCACTGCCTACTCCAATGACCATCCAAGGGCTCCCCTGCCCTATTTTGAGAGGGGCTGCTCCTATTTTGAGGAGGTGCAGTGGAGCCCCAAGACAGCTTTCCTCCTGCCAGTACCTTGCACTGCCACTACCCCAAACCAGGCCAGGCTTGTGGCTGGGACCAGGTTTGGTGCTGGCACCCATGATGCTCTCAGAGACATCACTGACATCTGACTTGCATCAGGGGCCCCCAAACCCTTCCTAACATCACCCCACAGTGAGTTTCTGGCTGTGGCAGAGGGACCCCCAGCCAGGGAAAAACCTTATGTGGTCTGTGTCAACTCAGAGATGACGTCCTGGCATCCATCGGCCTCCAGCTCCTGGCAGAAGCCGCTATCCCAGCTCACCTGCTGGGCAGCTGGCAATCCACAGCTGTCCCAGGTTTCATGGCTGCAGAGACACCTGCTGACCCTCAACCCACCAGGAGCACAGTCAGGACCTCCAGCATCCCTACAATGGACTCGCTCACAATTTTAATCAGTGAGGGAGGAAAAAAAGAAAAAAAATAAAAAAAAAACCAAAAGGAAAAAAATATGCTCTCTGACTATTTTTAGTTCTGTACAGCCCCTCAGCACTAACATTAAAAATAGATATGATGGGAAAAAAAAGACTGCAAAACTATGAAAACGTTGTTCTTTTAGCAAAATTTTGGAAAGTCAAAAACAATTGGCTCCTCTTTAAGAAAACACTTTTTTTTTTTCCCCAAACCAAGATGAATGAACACATTTTAATTAATTTTTTAAAACTTGTTTGTTTCCCCGCAACAATTTACCAAGACAGCTTTCAAAAGAAAATGCATGGATTTAATCCTTTAAAAGAGGTCTGACTGTCCTTTAATGGTCTTTTAATGACTGGGACTCATCTGCTGCAAGCACACCTTGCAATGCTGAACAAATGGAGAAAGCACAGCCTTCAAGCATGCATCAGTAAACGAGTGAGAACATCTCCATCAGAATTTCCAACACACTAATGCTTTCAAATAGGAGCTTTTTGACACAGATTCCTTTCATTCAGAATTTCAATACCTATATTTTTGCAGATAAAATCTCTCCTGACTTGGCCATGGAGTTATTTCAGGCCATCACCTCTGCACTTTCAAGCCCAAGACTTAACTTCTTGTACCCTATTCTTGTGCTTAATATCCTGAGAAGGGTCCCAAGTAACTAGATGATATCTTCCTCCTCAGTTTTGGTCCACTTTGCAAATGATACTTGTCCACAACATTGACTGGAACATGGCTCCAAGGACACGCCTATGGAATTGTGGAAACAGGTGTAAATCCACACCAAACTTGTCAGCTCTCACTGTCAGCAGTGGCTCCCATGCATGAACAGACCTGGGGCTTCATTGCAAACAAAGGTGTCCCTGCTTTCAAAGCCATGGCTAACTCCACGTTTCCCCAGAGCAGGCACTTTCCTCTGCCGAAGGCACTCAAGGATCCCAGGGAGAAAGCTATTCTTTGAGTGCTGGAGTTATTTCAAGCTCCAGACTCACTACAACTATCAATTAACATCCTAAAGCAGTCATCTGCCCTGTCTGCTCCTACAACATTTGGTACAACCAGCACATTATAAAAATTTTGCTGAGGGATACTTATTCATTTAACTGTAAATCAGTGAGAAAGTCATCATTAAAACGGGCCACCAACAAAGTGTGCAGTCAAATACCCAATTTTATATGCATATTTAAAAACACAACAGCTCAGTACATTTGATATGCTCTCTCTCTCTCTACTAAAATAACTAATCATGGCCAAGCAACACTGAAGTACATGCTTAACTTCAAAGCTGTGAGTAAATCTAATGGATTTATTCTCATCTCTAACCTGCATTTAGGGAGACATGAACACAAAGCATGTCAGAACCTGTGCAATCATTATGAGACCCAGATCCACATCCCAGATGTGCCAGCAAAGGCAACTTAAATTCAATTCTGGTCATGTTTTCAGTATCTGAATTTCCCCACACACATAGCAGTGCTGAGGGAACTGTCCCGTCTCACCTCCTCCCGTGCATCAGCTTTAGAGACTGTGCACTGCAAGCCAGCACAGTGCCCAGCACCCCCTGAAGCACGTTCCTAGATAGCTATAAAGCATTCAACTGCCTGGGCCAACATCTTGCAACTACACAGCATCCCACGCCTACTAATACCTCAAACTGCTTTGCAACCTTCATGGGTTTGCTATGTCTGTTGGTAAAGTACACAAAGCACTCACTGCTGAGACACACCAGACTTTTAGCAACAAATCCCAGCTCTTGCCCAGAAATAGCCGACAGCAGCCATGGGCAGGGAGTTAAAAACATAATAGTTATTCAAAAGCACAGAAGAAATTTGACCAACATGCATTCCAGATGAGTTAACATTGACATCTCCCTCCTGCATAGAAGTATTCCAGAGTAATGATTTCAGCTTTCTGCAAAGAACAAGAAACACTGACCAGCTCCTTTTTGCAGGAATATGCTTTCCTCCATCCTTCCTTGACTGTCTCCAAAAGAACTGGGAGCAATTCTTCCTGCAGATCCTGTAATATATGCACCCAAAATATGGTAGCTATCAAATAAAATTCCCGTGAAGCTTAGCCAAATAACAGAATCTTTTAGCTTGGGAAAGACCTTTGAGAGCATCAAGTCGAAGTGTTAACCCAGCACTACCAAGACCACCAGCAAACACTGTCCCCCAAGTGCCACATCTACATGGCTTTTAAGTACCTCCAGGGGTGGTGACTGGGCAGCCTGCTCCAATGCTTGACAACTCTTTCAGTGAAGGTCTTCCCAATACCCAATCCAAACCTCCCCTGGCACACCTTGAGTCATTTCTCTTATCCTAGAGCTTGTTGCCTGGGAGAAGAGACCAGCCCCCAGCTTGCTACAATCTCCTTTCAGACATTTGTAGAAAGTGATAAGGTCCCTTCTGAGACTACTTTTCTCCAGGCTAAACACCCCCAGCTCCCTCAGCTGTCCCGCACAAGACTTGTGTTCCAGTTCCTTTCATCAGCTTCATTATCTTTCTCTGGACAAGCTCCAGCACCGCAATGACTTTCTTGTAGTGAAGGGCCCAGAACAGAACACAGGATTTGGGGTGCAGCCTCACCAGTGCTGAGACAGGGGCACAATCACTGCCCCGGTCCTGCTGGCCACACTATTGCTAATACAGGCCAGTGTGCTGCATGAATCTGATGCACCTCAGCACACCACTGGCTTATCTTGAGATGGCAGTCAACCAACACCACCAGGGCCTTTTCATCTCATCTGCTTCCATGGAAGAAAGCTGTACCAGTCATGCCTCTTCCATTTTTGTCCTCAACCTGTTGCTGTAAAGGTAAGATAACAGCACAAACCAGTTGTGACAAATGCTCCACTTCCCAGAAGTTCATCCCACTTGGATGGGGGATCTGGTTCTGAACATGAACAAAAATAATAGATTTAAAGGTCCTGCTGCCCTCTAGACCTCCAGTTTGCCCACATGTGTTTAAAATGTGTTTATCTTGGTCCACCTGAACAATTACACAAAACAAAATATGGCTGAAATAGTCCAAGCAGTATGTGACAGCTGAATCAAGCACAATAGTCTCTTCCAAAGTGGTATAAACCTCTTCCTGACCTGAAGGAGAAAACAAATCAGGTGATCCCAATAAACAGCTTATCTGCACAATGGGAGACACTTGTACATTTCACTTGCATTGTTCATGATCTCTGTACTCATCCATGTCCACATCCGAGTCAAAGAGGGAATGTCCAGTGTAATCTGTGTCAGGGGTTTGGGAAATACTGTTCCCTTCTTCATCAAATGTTTCTGTCCTTGAATAAAAACTGAAGTCCTGCAAAGGGGAGTAAGTCTTGCTTGCTTCGCTGCTTTCCTCAGATTCATACAGAGTGTTGTCATCATCATGGTGCCATTCTGGCCAAAATTTCCTCCTTATTCTTTCACAATACATAGCAAGGTTAATCAGTTCACCTGCAACATAACATAGCAAAATAGACTTCAGTAGACATATCCAGCCAATAATGCTCTAACTCTAACCGGATGATGCAAAACCAAATTAGCTGTGTTTGATACTGTTTGAAACTTTGTAGTGCCTTTGCAAAGAGGTTTCAAAATTCCAAGATGCCATCAATCCTCTTAGCAGCTTTGTTTTTAACTTTAAGGTAACCACATACAACAAGAAGGGTTACAAATGAATAAACACAAACACATGTATACACAAATAGAAAAATAAGTATCCCAAATTCAACCTCTATAAAAAGAAATCAAGACAAGACACTAACAGGTCTTTGTAGCAGAAATTTTTGCTTAATTGCAAACACCTGGTTCCTAAAGACAGAATTTGATTTTCTAGATGGCACAGTATGCTTATTAAGTACAGAGAATGTGGGGTTTTCACCACCAGATGGCAGCGTTGTCTGCAACATAAGTTCACATTTAATATGGCCACTGGCTCACTCCTACTGCTCCCAGCCTTAGTATCTCACGCCTTGTTTATAAATACATGTATGCTTACAGAGTAAATCATTAAAAAACTCAAAGAGGAGAGAAAGCATATTAAAGGGGAGGTGTATGTAAAACCTGTATTCATGACAGCATAAGTAGGTTGACAGGTACAATCAACCACTCTGCTTGAGTATTTCAATCTATTATTTTCTATTTATTTTCGTTAGAGACTAACTAGTTCAACAAGCATAGTAATCCTTCTAGACAGCCATGAACCCTTCAGAATGTTACCTGTGGTGCCCCAGACATCAAGGGAAAGAACTGCATAGCCAATATTTATATCCTCAAGTGATCATTATGTGAGGAAAAGAGTAAGTCTGTGCCCCTTAACTGGCAGGTTTAGCAGAGCTCTCTTGCATAGAGTAGGTTTACAGGTCAGATTCATTCCTTTTACACTATTTTACATCCTGTTCCTCCTTAGCTCTTCCCATTTTTCATGCTGTGTAGTTTTACTATGAAAAGGGATGCAAAGATACTTTAATATCTATATCACCCCACTAAAAAGAACCAAACAAAACACCAACTCTCTGTGAAGAGGAGGGTAGGTATGTTGGTTTCCAACTCATGCAAAAGCAAAGTGAATCCAAGCCAGATTTCTTCCTTATCTGGAATCTTAAAGAACAGCAAAGGCTGTAATTTCAGTGAGACAATGGCACTTGCAGTTCTACTATCAAGGAGAGTACTCAGTCCAGCAGAATTTGGCTAATGGCTGTTCTTATGTTTTCTCATGCTTTACCCAGCATTCACTACTTAGAGGCTTTAAGGCTTTGCCACATTAACAAGGAAAAGATCAAGCACAGAAATAAAAATTACAGTTTAGAACATTAAAGAGAAAACAAAGAATTTTAAGAGAAAACAACATTGCAGGATACAAATGCTACATCAAAGGCAATAACAGTCTGCAGAAGTACTGCAGTCTTCAAAATGTCCTTCCAAGATACTCCAAGTTTAAGCATGGAAAACACCACCAAGAGCTTTTAATCAGAGATCACTCAAGTTTTCTTACCTTTGATTAGTCTCTCTGGTCGAGTCCCTGGTAATGTCCACATTGCCTGTGCCAGATGTCCAAAGACAGTGGCATCAACAGTGGAAACAGTTGATCCCATAATGTACTTCTTGTCACCTGTAAATACAACAGCAAATATTTATTGACTGGATGTTACTTCTCCCAAATTAAAAAAAAAAAAAATTACAGTTCCACCTTTAGCATATTTATTTTACTGTAATAATTTCAGTGAAAAGGTTCACTTGTCAAAAGACAGGGATTCCAAAGCTGTTTCTACAGTTCAGCAGGTGAAATCTATTAGTGCAGCTTCCCCTAAGCTCAAGACTTCTATAACCAGCCAATTACAGAGCCACCACTGGCCAAGGAACCTCCTCACAGCTGGCAGCGCTCACACACTGTACTCGTTCTGCTGCATTTAAAATCTGCTCTGCAGAAACAAAATGCCTGAAAACACCTCTACTGCCTTGGTGCAAACCCCAAACCGCTGAACCACAATCCAAAACCATGAACCTGCTGAAAGAAGCTGGTCACCCTTTACCTCTCATCCATGCAGATCCAGGTTCAATTTACTCATCCCATCAGCTGGAAAAAGAAAAGTCACACCCAAAGCTTTCCTCTCACCCTAGTTGTTCAGGCTGAAACAGCTGCAGCAGTCAGACCAGCAGCAACTGCTCAGAAATAACCTGTATCTCCCAGAAGAGGACAAAGAGACAGGCAGGAGCAGACAGGTCCTCTCACACACCAGCACCGCAGTGCCCTCACCCCCACTGACCCCTGACAGGTAGAAATCAAAGAGAGGCATGTTGGGCAGGCAGGCACTAAGTGAAACAGCAGCCCTTTGGGACTGGCCAAAGGGCAGTGGAGGGACATGTCTGCTCCTCACAGAAGCTTTCTCTTCTTACCTCTCTGGGCACCCCAATGTCGTGATGGTCCTAAATGGTCACCACAGCACAAACAGAGGGGTAACCAACTAAGACAGGGAAGAAAATAACATGTTTCAAAGCCACTGTTTGCAACAAAACATCCACTGTATACTTGATTTCCCATCACAGGCAGGAGACCTGGAACAAAGACTGCACACAGTGAAACATGAGGTATTGCAGAGGTCAGGTTAGCTGGTTGCACTGTTCCTGCTTTGCCCCAAAGTGCTATAAACTCTGTGAAATGTGGCACCTAATTGAATCCTCAAAATCCAGTTATCCCATCTCCCCAGGACATTCTTCCGAGCTGCCTGTAATTCAGCAGGTTATGCAATGTTAGGTTTATTGAACAAGTCTAGAGGAACTGTCCAGTGTAAAATGCATCAAATTCCAGTGTACAGTACAAGGAATGCTGCCAACCCCCTGCACAAGAGCAGAGCAAAACAGTGCTCAGGAATAGCCAGTAACAATAACCTTCTCTGGCCTGTCAGATGTCATTTGACTATGCAGTTATCTCTCACCAGCTCTTCCACAGTTCCATCAATTTATTGTTTGAAAACTCTGTACAGGGTAAATGTTTAGTCTTTTTGGTATTTATCTGACACCCAAGCACTCATCAATCTCAAACACAGTTCAAAAATTCATCCCTAAACCACAGTTACATGCCAGCACCAGGAATTTAGTACCATACAACTGGGTCTTGAGATTAAATCCATAGGGATGCTGGGAAGAAACACTGTTTCCATCTTGCTACAGTTAAAGCAGGCTCTGAGTTAGGGCTAAACCATCCCACCCTCTGGTTTCCCAGGCACAACACCCTACCCTTCAGGTGCATGGAAACAAAGGGCAAGAGGAGAAAATAAAACTGTAGGATCATAAAACTCCAAATTTGGTTTTAAGTCATGCTGCACCACAAAATACACCATCTGTGCACATTTTCTCCCACCATTTCCAATCTGTTCTCAAAATTTCCAGTGCAACTTTTGTCCAGAAGACTTTCTGATAGACCAGATATCTCTGTGTCTGTTTTTAGCCCAGATTACAGTGTCTGTCACATCCAGGCTGCCACAGCACTGATCATCTCAAACACCTCTCTGCATCCCCTAGCTAATCCAACAGAAATGACATCACCTGGTCACACTGGACTTGGATCAACTTTGTACTGCCCAGGAATTTGAGGGTACACAACTCCACTGTTTGCAAACGCATGCACCAGAGGATTCAAAAGCAGCTACTTCAAGAGTGAGTCAAGAAATCCCTGCAAGAAGCAGGTCTGTGGGACACAAGGCTGCACCCCTCCACAGAGGCAGGTACAGCACCTGCAGTCTGCTACAGGGCACTTAACTAACTTTAGAGTCTCAGATCCAGCTTAGTCCGACCTCTGAGTTTTCAGCTCTGAGCACCCCTGCCCCTCTCAAAGCATCAAATGCGTTTCAAAATCTACTTCAGGAAGCTGCTGGCCTGCAAATCCCTGCTCAAAATCCCATCTACCAAAGAGCTGAGAGGCAGACAGCTGAGATGGCACCAACAGATTTACAGTCAGTCACTTGCCTCTTCTAAACAATTACCAAAACGTGTATTTTTATATACTGCTAATTCATGTGCTCATTCCCCACACTTCTTACACTATCACCAGACAGTAGGAAACTGCTACAATACAAGGAAATTACATTTGTGGTTTAAAGACTGCAGGACAGAGAGAAAGGTGATACCAATGGGACAGGTTGATCCCCTACAGTGGGATTAGTTCCAATTTCCATGTTTATAAGACCTGGAGGAGTCTGTCAAGGAAATGGGTATAAGGGAGAAAGAAAAAATATTCTCACAAATAAAAATAAAAACAAAAACAAAAATAAAAATAAAAATAAAGCACCGAAGATATGATTGGGAATGTCAAAATTAACATCATAAGAACTGGCAGCTGCAAAGTTGTCATTCTCTGGAAGCAGCTCTTAGAATCAAAAGTTATTCTTGTTCCCATGTGAATGGTCCCTGTTAAAAAAGGGGAGCATTAATCTGATTTTCTTGTCAGCTACAGTTTGGTATGTGCAGCGATTCTGCACCACAGGCATCATTTTTAAGCTCTCAAGATAATAGCCAAAATCCCAACTACTTCCCCTTCTGGGAAAACACTTGGATACGTATATATGGAAGGAAATCTCACAAAGATTGTGCAGGCAGTAAGCTGACTGATCGCATTCTCCTTCCCCCTTAGAAACAGGGGAGCCTCTAGTTAGACTGGAAGTCCTCATCCCACCTTCTGTCCCCATTCCAGGATACTACCTGGAGGCCACACTTACTAGATCCAATCATAAACAGATGGCTGGAGAAAACATGAGCATACTGATGTTAATGAAAATTAAGGCAATTGCAGAAAAGTAGACAAATTCACCAATAATGGGGAATTATATAAGGGAAAATATAATGATTCATGTGACTGTACACCGACTTATCTGACATCCAGTTTAAAGGGGCAGATGAAAAAAATGTACAATATTCAGCTGGTAATGTAATAAAATAACAGGAATACAGAAAATGCCCATCAAGGCTTTTTGAAGTACACGAGCACATTCTCAACAACAATCTGAAATTAAGAAGAAAAACTCTGCTGGTAACATAAGAATAATACAATTAAAATTTTGATACGGTGAAGAAGTGCTTGAGGATTTCCAGCTTTTTCCACAAAAGCCAGAGACTGATTACAGCATTTACCTTCACAGGGAGATGACCCAAGCTACCCAGGAAGAGAGAAGTAGGAAGAGCATCTGTCTGCAAGCTAGACAAACAAACTCTCATCTGAAACAAGTCCAATTTTGAACACATTTAGACAGTGACTAACATCTGTCAGCAAAACATGGTGGCACCTCCACCTGCTGAAACCTCATAATTAGAACTGGATGGCTTTTAGAAAGCCATCCCCCAAGCCAGCAAAATGGCACTGGCCTCAAGACAGCAGTCAAGCAGTCTGATCCACAGAGATCTGTCTATAAGATTAAATGATTCCTTTGAACTTGAAATCTTACAAATCTGAGTGCCAGTATACACTCAGGAGAAATAAGCAAATCAAGATACTTTTACAGGTACTCAGGTACACATTTTAATTTTCTCTTGAAGGTTCTGTCTGCTCTTGGCGGAAAGAGATGACTTTAGCAGACATATCCACTGCCACTCCTTTCAGCCTGACAGAGTTGTCTAGCCAGAACCAGGGTGCTTTGATGAGCTACTAAGTCATAGACTGAACTTGCTCCAGCTCCTGTCCCAACCCCAATCCTTGTGATGAGCATGGAGCCACGCAGTGCCAATCTCAAAATTACAGCATTGGTAGGCCCACAGAGAACGTTTGGAGCCGGCCACAGCTCTGAAGCAGGCAGGACCAGATCTCCTCTTCTAAAATGAATTGCTTCCTCCCTTCTTCCCTCTCAAAGAAAAGGGACCTCTTAATCTCCAAACAACAGATTTTCTCTGAAGAGGCACTAGAATAGATAATTGCTTCCATTAACAAATAAAATACAGCATAAGAAAGTGTTGTCAAAAGAGGAGCTGTCCCCTTTCCCACTGTGTCCATGCACCTCATAGGTTTTTCCCCACCTTGGTCCCCATCCAGCAACTCAACAAGTTTTAGAAAACAAAGTTACAGAAAACTCTGTATCTGGGTCCACTGCAAATACCTTCCTTTCCAAAACAGCTTGGAAGTCCAGAAGCATGTTTTTTCCTTCCCTTTCTCAGAAGCACTCAGCTTCTGCCTTCTGCTGGGCTCTCCCCAGCTTGTTCCTTTTACCCACTCCACACTTATCTCTTTAGAGCATGTGCAGTGTGTCCCACCTCTGGAGCACAGGGCAGGGAGGCATCCTCCTGTCTCCACTCAGCCACCTCTTTACAGCAATTGTTACAGGGAACATGCAGGTACCATCTCTCTTGGCTTCTCTCTTGGTTTCTCACACAGAGACATAAGCTCAAGGAAAGTGACAACCTGCACCAAGGCAATTCCTCCAAAAGCAAGTTTTACACAGATGCACAATATGTTTAGCTCTCGGTGGAGCAGAAGGCAAGAAGCACAGTGCAAAACAGTTCCAGTGCATATTTCAGCCTGAGCCATGCAACAGAAATGAGGTTCATGTAATTCTAGCTAAGTGAAGTCAACCTTAAGACTAATTGTATGGGATCCACCCGAGATAACCAATAATCTTAAATGCACCTATTTTGACAGCACAGAACCATCTCCTACTGGGAGCTTTGAATAAAGCTGCTGACACCAGCTCAACACGACAAAGTTCAGCTCATCAAAATAACATCTGCAAAGGGTTTTCAAATGGCAGCCTCATAACAATCTGTCAAACAGCCACAAATAAAAAACAGGAAAGGAAATATAACCAGGAAACAAAAAATGAGACGCACACACCCCAGCCCCCAAAAAAGGTTTAAATAAGAGGTTTCATTTGCAGAACTAAACACTACATTTTCCTAATTTCCTGTCGCTAAATGCTCTTCCAAAACAACAGGCCACGTTTTGCTCCTCTACATACACAAACTCTGTGCCCAGAGAAGGAATCCTCATATGCCTCTACACACACAATTTGGCAGCAAACAGTGGGAAAAGAAACAGTGTCTTTGCCAGAGCAAGAAAGGCACTAAATGACAGCTTCTAGCTTTTGCCAAAATGAGTTTATTTGTGTGTGATCAAGCTGTCAGGAAGCACTGGAGGTCAATTCCACCCTGTGGAGTGAGAAGCTGTGAAGAGAGCACCGTAACTCGCTGTACTTTACCCAGGAGGCCTGCCAGAGTCCGCATGTCCTTCTCCATCAGCGTGTACATCTCCTCCTCCGAGAAGCGCCCAATGCCATGGCCGTACATTTCCCGCTTCACGATTCCTTTGGTCAGATGGCAAAAGATCCACTTCAGCAAGTCGCTGAAGGGGCCAAAAAGCGAAACCATCTTTTGAGTCTCATGAAGATTTTCCACCCATTGGCAATAAGCTAAAGTCCTAGAAGGATGCAGAAAGAAGTTATAGCAGTGTAATCCCCAGTGAGCCCAACACCACCCTGCAGAGGCATGCACAGAGGTCAGGCAGGTGAGTGCTCACTGCCCTGATGGAGAGGTAGCTTCCCTAAACAGCAGACTCCAAGGCAACTCAGAGTGCCAGCAGAGCAAACCCATTTTACAGTACTTAGGCAGACTGCCTGGTGCTTATTCTCTCATTAAATCATGACTCACTCCAGGAGAAAACAAGATTCCTGTTGAAATATAAAGTAAAAGCTGCAGAATTCTGCTAAACTTGTGTAACAAAACGCAGTGCCAAACAGCTTTATTAGCTAAAGATGACTCACTGCACAGATCTGGGAAAGACAACAACAAAACAGCCCCCTAAAAATCAATCTTTCCCACCAACCTTTCTCCTTTCTATACTGCTCACACTTAGGCAAGCAGTAACTTTGCTCCAACATAAATACTGAAGCAGTAACTTTTCAGAAGATTTCACTTCTCCTCGGAAATTAAGAATAACACAATCTTTAAAAACTAAAATATAAAAAAGAGGTAGTGGTCATTACGTTGGTTTTCTCATGTACAGCTTCCTCCCTTCAAAATGTTGATTTCCTGAGACATTTCTAAAGGACACTGTTGCCTTCCATGTTTTATTGAATGGCAAACATTATTTTATAAAGTCTTTTTATAAAAATCTGTTTCACCAGCTTAAAGTTTTGTTTCCCACATGAGTTTTTGTTCTTTATCAATATTATAGGCAAACATACCTTAATTTGTTGCTCCAGAAACTTAAGGAAAAGCAACATTAACTTTCTTAATATCCAGCATCTTCAGAAATTACAAATAAACCACAAAGACCATATATACGAACTTTTGTCACCAAGTTCAAGGGTTGTTGGAAAAACAACTAAAGACATCAGAGTAGACAAGAAAAACACAGGAAGCCTACAGGGTCTCAGAAACACTGGGAATTGATACATGTATTCCAATCCAAGCCATTCCAAGGCTTCATTGTTTAAGTTTGGAATATTACTTCAGTTTTATCATTGTACATATTTCCAGCTCCACATCATTTCCTTAGTGCTGGTATGATTAACCTAATTCAAGAAAGGAAAGGGTAAAAAAAAGCCATTATCTCCTGGAGAACCCCTGTGAGTTTTGGTAACATACATTTTATCAAACTCACGTTGTCTACTGCAGTTCAATGCCTTCTGCTCTGTTTTCACTGAAGTCAGCAACAGTGAGGTGTGAACAGGTTTTTGCTGCAAATGTATAAACAGGGAAGAACAAAAACACACCTGCCCTGCTTCTGATGGCTTTGACCCTCCACAGATTACTCCACAACCTCCAGCAGTGTATAATTATAACAAAAGCATCCTGCTGACATTTCACGTGTTTCAACACTTTTAGAATGGGGTGTTCTACATGGTCCTGTTTTTTCAAACTTGATGGATAAACTCAAGTCGTTGAGCAGATTACAGAAATGCAAAGCTTGAATCAGAGACAGATTTAGCAGCAGCACCAGCAATACAGGAGGAATGTGAAACCAACAAATGCAGCAGCAAAGAGCTACTGAAATTCCTTAAGCACTGACTTTGTCTGGAAGATGCGGTGTGAGACTGCCCCAGTTCCAGGAACAAAGGTAAAACAGGACTTAAGACAAATGGAAACAAGGCTGCCCTGAAAGTGTAAGGGCACTCTATAGAGCAGAATGTTGCAGCAGTCATGTTTCAGTGGCCTGGCAAAGGACAAGGTCTCTTCAGCAGGTACAGCTCTGAATAGGAAAAACTCCTGACGTGAACACTAGGAAATAATTAAAATACTATGACTTGGGTTGGTAGGGACCTTAAAAATCATCTATTTCCAACTAGATGTCCACTGCAGGGACACCTACTCCATGGGCAGGGATATTACCCGTTAATCTAAATATCAGGTTATTTTAATCACCATTAATCAGGTTGCTCTGAGTCCCATCCTGGCCCAGTCCCAGCCTGGCCTTGAGCACTTCCAGGGATAGGGCATCCACAATTTTCTAGGCAACCTGTGCCTCACCACCCTTCGAGTAAAGAACTTCTTTCTAACATCTAATTTACATCTCTCCTCTTTTGGTTTAAAACTGATTCCCTTGTCCTATCACTATCTACCCACGTAAAAAGTCACTCTCCCTCTTTTTTTAAGCCACATTTAAGTACTGGAAGGACACAACAAGGTCTCCCTGAAGCCCTCTGCTCTCGATGCTGAACAACCTCAGCTCTCTCAGCCTGTCTTCACAGGAGAGGTGCTCCAGTCCTCTGATCATCTTTGTGGCTTTGTCTGGACCTGCTTAACAGGTCCAGATCTTCCTTATGCTGGGAACTCAGTTGAGCTGGAAAACAGGTGGCTTCTCACAAACAGAATAGAAGGGAAAATCACCTCCCTTGACCTCTCTCAATGCAAGCCCAGCATGCTACCTCACACTGCTGGCTCATGTCTGGCTTTTTCATCCACCAGAGCCCCCAGGTCCTTCTCCACAGTACTGCTCTGAATGAGTCCTTTTCCTAATCTGTAAATTATTATTTGAATAAGCTAAGAACTTGACCTGTGAAAGCACTGCTCTGTCTTGCTGCAAAGACCCTCCTCCCCCAGGATGGACCTGACCTGCTTCATCTGGCAACTCTACAATACAATTTAGTTCCTTTAGGACAACAGGCCTGGCCTGGAGAAGAGCAACAAGAAAAAGAAGGCAAAACAAAACAGAAAAAGAACACAGGAACTCCACTGCAGCAATCCAGCTGCACAAAATTAAACCTGGCCCTATGGACTTGCCATCATTATTGCTCATTCCAACCACACCAGTGAGCTGGCATCACATCAAGAGTGATCAACCATGCCCAAAATTATTTTAATTTCATAAAACAGAATGAACAAGGTTTCCCACAAAGCTAATTGGCCCAAACTTTAATGTAAAAATACATTTCCCCAGAGCTCACTTTCTTGTCATGGGAGAGAAGGTCTTTGGGTCTGGAATAGGCAGAAATCAGATCAGGCCTAATGACCAGGACAGCAATGGAGAACTACACAGGATTTAAGTAATCCTGCTTAGGCTAAACTGTCAAGCACAAATCTTAAGACATCTGCTTGTCCCTCTGAATGAGCAGAACTGTTACATGTCCCAGATGTCAAATTTACATGGGAACTGAAGGCAGCTAAACAGACAATCACAGGTTACTTCCAAAATGTTACAGTTCTGAGTACACAAAACAAGGAAAAAAGTATTCTGTGATTGAGGGAGAGATAAAAACACTTTTAAAACCGGCTTTACAAGCACTTTGTTGAAGTTATTCTATTCAAGGGTTCATTAATCTGTGTTTTCTACTCTTCTCAAATTTTTATTCCACCTATCATTCTTCTATTCATACTACATTAATGGAGTATTGTCAATATTACAAAAGGTTAGGAAATGCCAGAATTCAGTAGTCTACATAATCGACTTCACTACAGCACAACTATACATTTTACACCAGAGTAAATATTTACGGGATGACATAATGGTTTTAAATACTGGACTGAACGGAGCATTGTGGGAAACATTACCACTCGCATTTGTGCTAGCACATCTGTACAAATCTTAGAGTATAAATAAAACAATAATGCATTAAAGAGCAATGCTGTAGGGGTGAAGTAAATCTGAAGTCTAAATGTAACAGCAGCTTTGGCCTCAATACATAAATCAGGCGAGGAGATGAAGAAAGTGACTCATCAACAGCAGCTTGTCTGATTATCCCAAAACTGGCTGAACCTCAAGACAAGGGTAAGGCATTCACAAGAATGTGAACAGGATGATATTTTCCTATCTGAACCTGTGCAGACTAGAATTCCTTGATATACAAAAGGATTGTAGAGCCAAATTCATTCCAATCAGCTGTAGAAACCCCACCCGCTGTGCAACTTCTCAGAGCAACTGGCTTTCAAGCCACAAGTGGCATTCAAGCCTCATCACTGTCAGCAGTAGGAGAGACGCTACTCTTAAAATTTGGCTTGATGTATTCAAAAATATTTACACCACAGAAATATTTTTTATGTTTAACACGTGGCAAGTCTGAATACTGACCAAAGTCAGATTCATCCATATTCTCATATCATGCTCTTCCTGTACTTCAAGCATTCATCACATATGATGCATGCTTCTTGAAAGACAAAGCAAGAAACAAGTCAAATATATTTGCAAGTGTATATATACATAGACACACATTTATAAATCACACATGTATTTATAAATCACTACAGTTGTGTTTGACAATACAGCTCAACCAATCTAACGGGTTAGTCTGCTTAAGCCAAATATTCAAGGCTTTATGTTCTCACTAAGTACATTAGTGTCACAGACCTAAGATCCATCTCCTGAGATCAAAGTGACAGAAAGCATCTCACAGTGACTGCTAGCCCTACAGGCACCAGGACCTGCCTGGCCTGAATCCCAGCAGAACTGTCGAGCCCAGCATGCCAGTTCCAGAAGGGAGTGAGAATCAGGCCTCTCTTAACCAGAGGTCCGATCCCACAAATGTGCAGCAGTTATACCAAAAAACCCAATGCACTCCCCAAGAGTGGCTGTGAGTGCCCCACTGGTTTCTGGGGGCCCACAGGTCACTGCAGGCAGTGAAGCTGACTCAGAGCAAGTGTACAGAAGATGACAGAGGTCTGCATTGCATCCAGGACCTGGGGTGAGAGTCACAAAATTATTCCACTTCCATCTCTTCACTACTGGCTCGCCTCAACACCCATTCAGCTTAGAGGACTGTTTTTTCTTTTGACAACTAAACACAGCAAAAACCTAATGGCTTACTGCATTCTCCAGGGACTGGAGCTCCAGCACCAGCTCCAAATCAGTCTTGTGCATCTCAGAGATATGGTGTAACCCCAGCATAGAAATAGGTATGCTCACTTGTCTTTCTGCCTGAGCCCTGCCGGGCGCCACAGCCTGGGGCAGAGAGGTGTCCTGACGAGGAGGTTCTAACAGCCCCACACTGCTCTCAACTCCAGCCAGAGCAGCCAATTCCACATGTAAGAGGCACTAACTGCTGAAGATGAGCCACTGCCTTGGCAAAATGAAACATTTCTGGAGGAAATGCTGAGCTTCACCCAGGGACGGCACACCACAGGATGTACTTTTCTTCTTTGTCCGATAAATGTACTACAGCATTACTTATTTATGATGAAGCTAGTTCGTGTGCTGCTGGCAATGAAACAGTAGGAATCACATGACATATCACTGCTTTGGAGGCTTGGCTTTATATACCTTATTCTGCAGAAAGGCAACCACTGTTTCAAATTCCTCACCATGGGACACAAGGACACCAAAAAAACCCTAAGCTTCTGGTGGGAAGGTTCAGGGACAGATGTGAAGGGACCCTACAACCACAGATGCAATGCTGTCAAGGAGAAATATGGTCCTACACAGTGAAAGCCTGATTTTGCTTTGGTGTAAGCACAGGATGGTCAAAGTTGTTCTCCAGAAATAACAGCAGTGCAAGCGCAACACCTCATGGCTCAGGCTTTGCCTGCTACAAGGAATCTGCATAACCATGCCAACATATCAAGCCTCTGGTACAGCCAGAGGGACATACAGTAAGACTCTGAGTTGGACTTTTGACTGCACTGCAGCAAAGATACATGCCTTGGAGGAACTCAGCTGTGTGACTACACAGGAAAGGAAACAGGGATACACTGCCAGGCATGCACATCTCTGCTCTTGATGTAACTTTGTCCGCCTGTTTTAAAGCCCCCTCTCTGGGCCAGTGCCTAAATTTGCAATACCTGTCTCCAACACTTGCCTGTGTCACATCCAGCAGTGCCCAGCCAGCTCCAGGGGAGCCTGGATGGACGGACAACAGCTTTACAGAGGATAGCACTTTGTAATTGAGACACAACAGCAGTATAAGCCTGCCATCAGCAATGATACATTTAACGCAGTTAAATCTATCAACCATGAAACAACAGACACTAAGGCAAGGAGATGAAGCATTAGGGGACTAAAAGGCTTCATCCTCCCTTTGGCAGCTGTAATAGCTGAGGGAGGAAAAATGAACCAAAAAAAAGTTAATTTACAGGCTGCCTGTATCATGTTTGGAGGCTATGACACTGCAGATGGGTATAATTGGTGAAGGCCACACTTCTTGGAAGGCATAGATTTAATTTTTAAACCAAATCACTTCAATCTGCTAATTACTGAGTGCTAAAATTGTTCACAGGAGACACTAAAAATTATTTGAAGGACTATATGTACATGTATTGCTGCTGATCTTCAATCAAAAGGTGAAAGAAAAAGCAGCTAAATGCATTCAATTTAAAATTCACACATTGTTTTGAAGAAAAAACGTGCAACATTAAACTTAGTGTAGCAAGGACTTCAATGCATACTAGAAAGTAAACTATTGGGATAAAGCCTTGTGCCTGCTAAGGCAGCAAATGCAGCATCCAAGATGCATCTCTGACCTGTTGTCACTATGCCTAAACTGGAAAGGGCACCTAAAAAGGACTAAAACGTAAAGCACCAAGGAAAATATAAGTATTATTTTCAAAGGTATCAGTAAAATGCATAAAGTACCAGAAAGGTTCTATTTCTATTTTCCATTCATACACACACTTCAGCTTCTCAGGATACTGTGGCTAATACTGTACACTACCAATTGGCAGTGCTGTCAACAATACATATCAACAGGAGTACCCTGTGTTACAGAAAAGGCAATGATCTCTACTACAATCACTCACACATAATTAAAACCAGCAAAAGTAAGAAAATAATATTCTGGATTCACCACAAACACTGGGTTCACTCCTCTACACTCCCCAAACCACAAATATATTCAGCCACTTTGATCTTTTGGTCTTTATTAAGCAGGCTGCTCCTGTTCAGAAATCATGTTGAACAGAGGAGCATCCCACTGCTGCTTCCTTCTACAAAGCTGCAGTCAAAGGGCCTGACTTTAACTTGCTTACACAGGACAACTTTTCAAGGGAATTATCCCTGCCTCATGCCACTGTACACATAAAGGAGCAGCAGTTTCCTAGAATGAAGAGAGTTGTGAAGCTAGTAACTGGGTGCCCAAGATTTCTGCAAGAGAAAAGAGGCATTCATGTCCCATGAGGCCCGAGCTCAGGGACACATCTGACAGCACAAGAACACAGCCAGCTCTGCCATGCAAGCTTACCAGTACAGGTGCTCCTCCACCATTTTGGTCACAGCTCTGGAAACAGCTCTTTCATGGGGACCAAGGTGTTTATTTAAATTCACTCCAAGTTTCTCTTCCAAAAAGTCAATAATGAACTCGGTGCCAGATACTTTCTTGTGATTGTATTCAATCCAAGGCATTTTCCCTTGAGGGGAAAGTTTTCCATCAAAGTAGTTCTAAGGAAAAAAAAAAGTCAAATAAACAAACAAATACACAGACAAAAAAAGCCCTTTGGGTTCTGCTCCAATGAGAATATATATTTTTAAATAATTTTCTGTGTTTCTAAAGAAACAAATCCACAAATCCAACAAATGTTGTTTTTTTTTAATTAACCCTCTAGAGTAGCAGAGGCTATTCAATCAGAGCAGCAGCTTTACCCTACATGACAATTCAGGAAAAATTATTTCCAGGCCCCGCAAGGTGTTCCATGCTTTTATGCTGAATGCCATGTGATATTATATTATTTATTATTTAAATACCTGGGTTAGTTACGGTTTGGAGATGCTCAGATCTCACAGAAGATTGGACCCCTTATTCTAAACAAGTTTTAAATCACAGGACTCACAACTAAATTCAGTTCCTGCACACATCTGCACTTTTCATGTTAAAAGTACCATAAAAAAAAAATTACTATCCAACTCAGATGGCTGCATAAGGACAAAACACACACAATCACAAGTGTACATGAAAGGCGTATCATTCCCTCCTGAGCAGAAGGAAAATCTGCTTTCAGATTCAACTTCAAAACTTACAAATCTCAGATGTTTACACACCTACTTGTTACAACTGGGTCTCCCAAGAGGCTAGCACAGTAGAGCACAGCTGAATACTGCTGTACCTGCTCAGCACAGCACTCACACAGAAGCAGCAATGTGTTTTTTCCATGACAAGGTAAAACACGGAGATTAAAGAATTTCCATCTCATGTAACAAGCAACTGCTGGCTACCAAAACATGATCAGACATTTGTCTTCAATTCTCTTACTCCTGAAGGCAGAGACACAGGGCATAACCTTTTTCCTTTCTTGTGATTCCCATCCCCACATCCTGTTATTTAGTGAATGAAAACTCCTAGCACAGAAAGCTGAGCAGTAAAGGCTCTGCATTCAATCTCTGGCAGTCACCTCAAGCATTTCAGGACCTAGCTCCTAATTGCTGGAGGTTTAAGGTTTGTAGCTCTGGATTGATCTGTTTGGGTCCCAAGTATTTACCCTTCCTGAATCCACTTAAGATGGATTAAGGTGCTCTGGCAGCAAGAAGCATAAACCGGAACACAACTCCCGCTCAGTCTGCGAGTGCCAGCATCCTGCCACTCCAAATGCAGATGTGCAATGCACTAGGATCATGCAGCCATGAAAACAAATGGGTAACACTTCTGGGAAACAATGCCTTCTGGCTGTAGCCTCTTTCAGCGTTTGTGCCCAAACAAACAGCATGGCAGGGACACTGGATGATGTCATGTCTCACCCACCACACCCCGGCGTGGGTGAATAAAGCACCTGAATGCCTCCCACCCGCATGTGTGGGTGACACGGGGGCCATTCCATGGCACAAGCACTAAAACCACTCAATGTTTGAAACTGAAAGGGGAGCACTGCCCTGTCCTTCCACCTTCCAAGATCCTTCCTTCATCAAAAATGGTCGTTCAGCACTGAAACTGACTGATAGATTTCCATAATTTTTCATTATAACTTTACTCCAGAAGCACAAGGTTTTCCTGGAACTACACACCATGTTTAGAAGATCCTGAGCATTACTGGCTTAATCTTTATTAAGCCCTTCCATTAAGATACTTCCCTTCTTGTGCACAAACACTGGTAGTTTGCAGAAGCTGGACTTGAAGATGTGTTTATTACATCTTGCAATTACTGCAGTGCATACCATAACCCAGAAAAAAAAACCAAGTTGTTATTACTCAGCTGCACATTTCTTCAAGCACATGTATCTTATACACATAAATACATTGCCTAAAAAGATTTTCATTACATACTGTTTATCAAACAAAATAGGAAATATCTTTCAGTGACCTGAGAAAACCTTCATCTCTTGAGAAATCTGTTATACTGTTATTGTATCCATTGTTTTCAAACAGACATTTTTAGGCTTGAAAACTCTGTATCCTTATGGCTGATACTAATTGCTATCAAATATTTATAAATTTTCCACTTAAAAATTGTTCCAGTCGCTAAGCAGGGAAAAGCTATGGTAGCATTAAAAAGCAAAAGCAAACCAAAAGAATATCCCTTTTCATTCACAGTACATTAAGTGCCAGCAGAGCAACAACAATAGCTCTACTGAACCTCATTTACAAGGAATTTATAAAAAGAAGGACACAAGGTATTTCTAGGGTAATTTTATAGTACTATGCAGAAGAAATCAGATTTCACATTTTCAATTACTCCTGTTTATGATTTTACGTTCACTCACGTCTTTTCCTAAGGAGGCTGCCATTTCCACAGACCTGGCATGAAAACAGCACATTCCCACTGTGCTAATTATTTATCAGGTTACATAAAGGCTCAGCTCCTCATATTCTTGAGGAAATCAAGGAATACCCAAAAGATCTTGATGAGCACACAAATGGGGCTCTTTCAAAGCAAGCTTTACCAAGAAAAGCATCAAATGTTTTGAAAACCCACTAGGGATTATGACAGCCCAGCTGGGGTGGGGCTGCCCAAATCATTTTTCATGGAAACTCTCACATAGAGAGGCAGATTCAAGAAAACACAAGCACATGACAGTAGCACATGTGTTGGGAGAAATTCAGGTGAGAGTAAGGTAGGAATACATCACTCTACTCCAACCCTCACGTGCCATTAAAGCAGGTTGTATAACACAAAGCACAATACTCAACAGTCTGATGCACTACAATAAACACAAGGAATCAAAAATGTAAAAAAGCCGTCTGAGCATCGCACTGCCTTCTCTTCACTCCATTTCATAACCCTCCCCTTAAAGCAGTCCTTCCTCAGCAAGGTGATGACCACAGCAGTTCTCCTGGGATGAGCACCAGCTGCCACCTGCAGCACTTCTCCATCATGGCCCCCGACAGTGTGCAGGGAAGCAAGGTGTTTCCTTCTGAATCCTCCCTACACACCCACCCTGCTGCCTGCCAGGCAGCCATCAGCTGCCTCTGTCACCTACAGCATCCTAAGGGTAACACAGTGATGAAGGAACAAAATGAAAGCCTACAGGCAGAGTATAAGAAACCATAGCCAGGAACAGTTCCCCCTTCAGTTCCCCTCTCGCTCAATCCCACAGCAGCATCGATACTTTCCTCCACCTGCCAGAGTCCAATGCAGCACCATACTCCTAACACAAGGAGAGAAACAACATCTGCTTCTTCCAGAAAAGAAGAGCTGTGTCCTCAGTTCATATGCTCAGCTCCACCAAACTTGCCTCTAAAAGCCTTCAGAGGGTCACTAACCCACAAACACCTTAAACCCATGTAAGCCAGCATGGCTAAAAGCACCAACCTGGTGCTCCCAGCACCCATTCCTGCTCCTCCAAAATGGCATACAGACCATGTGGGGAACCAAGCTGAGTTAAAACCAAATAAACTAAAATGTCATGCCTCTAGCTAGGTCAGCTCTGATCAGCCTGAGCTTCTACAGAAATGCATGTGCAGGAAGGGACAGGAGGAAGCAGCTGAACGTAGGAATGTTGCTTTTGATGGTCTTGTCAGTTTAGTGTACTCACAGCTATTGAGTATTGAGGGATAGAGAGACATGCAACACCAAAAAGCAATGCTGACATCCAGTACAAAAAATAAAGAGGGGAGGATAATCCTCTGGAAATTCCTCTCTTTGAACAGTTGTGTCATTTCTGACCAACATGAGCTCTCTAAACGACTCCATCCTGAATCACAAAAATGTGGTGTTATCACTCAGAAGTGGCCATGTCCCGTCACAACCATCTTTTATAACACAGCTTTCTACAGCTACTCTCCACCAGAGCAAACTTGAGCATCACAAACCTTTGAACTGCATCAGCTGCCATTGGAAAGAAAAAAGATCTCACCAAGAGAATCATCCCCTCAAACATGCAATTTCTACCCAAATTATTTTGAGAAAAGGAATGTGCACAAAGTCCTCCTGCTCAAAGGACAAGTTCATGCTTCGGAATTTTGCAAGTTCTGTAAACCTAAATGAGGAAAATACATCCCACAGGATGGAAGTCTTCCTCTTTAGTACTCCCATGTGTCTGATTCAAGTACTACTGAATTGCAAGGAAACACTAAACTCTGGCTTTTAAACAATTAAGCAAAATGTACTGATTAGACTTTCTTTCTCCTCCAATGTAAAGGAGTTATGAAGCTAAAAATCAATGGCAAATGTTAAATGTTAAAAAAAAAGAAGTTGTAATACCATTGGTTTTCCGCTGTACAACATTTGACTTATACAAAACATTCTTCCTCGGTATGGAGTAAAATGCCAAACTTACATTATCTAGGAAAATCCAGAGGGAGAAGAAAAAAGGAAAAAAAAACAAAAACTCAGGCATTTCTTTTCCCTAAGATCTTAGTTATATACATCATCATTATTTCATCATCTTAAAGGCATTCAGTGCTTAACACACACAAAAGAAGAAAACCATCCCATGTTTCAAAGAGCCTGTGTGTTGTACAGCTTGCCAGCACCACAAGATGTGTGCCACACCTGCAGTGTCCCTGCTCGATCCCAGTGCTAACAGGCAAGACCGTGAGATTCAAGTGTCCACTCGCACAGCTTTCACTCGCTAGAGTAGCTCAGGCTTCATTCCCTGCAGGAAGATGGCATGGGATGCACCCAACCACAATTAAGGAGCAGCAGACATGACCTCTGTAAGCAATCCTGTCTCACTTCACTAGGGAGGAAGCATCAGCCATGGGAGGTGAAGCAAAAGGTAAGCACCTCTTCCCAGGAGAGCTGCAGAGATAAGGCCTCCAGAAAAACAAGAACCAGCAGCTGTCTAATCTTGATATCTTTAGCATGGTGAAATTCAAGGATCAAATAATCAAATAAAGCAGTGTTCTGCTTCAGTTTTGGGGTGTTATTTAATGTTATATAAACTCCAGACTATTCTCCCACTTCAGCATTTCCAGCCAAGTTAACTTTTAACAATGATTTACCTTTGCCAGTTAAATCTACAGCTGCTCCAGATGATCTTATTCAAGTCATATCTTTAAAGGTTATACACCAAATTCAATTGGAGACACAAAAGTGTTGGCATATCCACCTAGCTGTAGGTGTACGTTTACATCTCCCAGGGTGAGAGAGACGGAGGGGGATGAGAGGCAGGATGCCTATGTACCATTTCATGCAACCACAGAGAGCTGCAAGGCAAAGGCAAACTGCTGATGTACCTGGTAGGGTAAATCAGCCATCCTCAAGTACGTTTCCATTTTCAGGCAGAACGGGGATAAACTCGGAACGCCATTCCTAGGCCTTGAAAACTGATGCAGTATGATAGCATCTTTCGAATCGAGCTCTTCCTCTTTACTGGAAAAAAAAAAATAAAATAAAATTAAAACGGACAGGTGTATGATACATCAGTACATTAAACGGACAAAGGAGAAACCCCGGCCCTGGAAACACACTCGTCAGCCCTTAGGGGGCTGCTGCAGGTTTTGGTTGCCCGGGTCCGGAGGCAGCGAGAGGGCCCAGTCTGGGCCACCTGTGGGGGCGAGCGCAGGGCTCGCCGCGGAGCCGCCTCCCGCGCTGCTGCAAAGGGGAATGGGGGAAAACGGGGGGAAGGGGGGGAAAGAAAGGTAAATGGCAAAAGCACGGTGAAGGAGAGCCCCGTCCCCCCCCACCAAAGCGCCGGACCTCTCCAACCTGACCAGGCAGGTGTAAGCGGCTCCGAGCGCGGCCTCGGCTCGGCGGGGAGCGCCCTGGGCCCGCTCCCGCCCGGCAGCCCCGCAGCCTCACCGAATGGCCAGCAGCTCGTGGAGCAGGTACGCGGCGGCGGCCAGCAGGGCTCCGCCCGTCAGGTACAGCGTCTTCTTCCACCAG